ATAGAACGTTCCCTGTCGAGCACAGTCATATAGGGTTTGTTGGGTCCATCTCTAACAATAAGCGAGATAATATTAAAAAACGAAAAGAAGGTTTTTTATTAGGAAAATAAGATATTTTGTAATTGTTGGACGTCTTTGATGCATTTCTGATTTTTTTCCAATTACGTATGTATTTAGATTTATTTGTAATATATATTGACATATCGAACATTGATATAGTCCAAAACGGGTATAAATATTTTAACTAAATCTCACTAATTAGGCCGTGAGAGGCCTATTTACTCATGGACAATGTTATATGGTAGGCCGTGACAGTGACAGGTAAAATTATGACAACATTGTTATTGTTTGACAGTTTGCATTATTATTTAATTAAAATGGGTTACACAGAAGAAGAAAATTTAAATATTATAGGAATTAAGATAGAGTATTTAAGATATTCTCCATACCTACTTTATTTTAATTCCTAATAATATTTCAATTTTCAATATATATCGCGCACTTCAGCCTGCATTCTTATTTTATCTCCACATCCAAGCAATATCAAGATTTCGATGTGTTGCCTTTCCGACAACACCATTGCAATTCAGTAAATAAATTGATTTTGGCACAATAGTAACGTTTCGAACTCCAATTTACAACTAAAGCGAAAAATTAACCAGAAAGCCTGGCAAGTAAGAGGTGCCAAAAAAAAACGCAACATAAAAAATGTATCTTTTTGCGTTAGCAGCGATAGGTACAGTTTCAAATTCTTTATTTTATTCTGCGCAAATTCATGGAGGATAACACTGAAGATAATTCAATTTTATTTCACTGGTTAAGTAGGTGTTTTATACAACCCTAAAAACCTTGCTATTGAAAAAATAAAACTTGTTTATTTGGTATGGCTGGATTCGGTTTTCTACAAGCTTTTCAATGAGCCCCCTCATGCCTTATGTTTCCATTTGAAAAAAAAGTAGGGGTAGCTGGGGGTTAGTTATCAACTCGTGTAATAAACTGATACGCCTATGAGACATCAACTTATTCTATTAAAAAACTGTGCCGACGGCATAAATTAAAATCTATTAACGCAAAGTAATTTACAAATTAATTCCCCTACTAATGAAACAATTATGTTAAAAATAATAAGGGGTGCCGTCACTTTATTTTTTTTCTATAAAATTTGCATATTGTCTTCAGAGCACAGCTACCACAAATAACTATCAAAATTTACATAAATGAGCAATTTATATTTAAATATTATTTTCTGACAATGTTATATTATTTAACAACGTCATTTTAATAATAGTGTTATGAATAATTTAAGTATTCTTTTGTAAATTACAGTCTTTCTAGTTGAAAAACTATAATAACAAGTTAATGATATCATATTATTATCGCACATAAGCAGTTAGTAGTATTATTAAAAATAGGTATTTGTAATAATACGACATTATTTTTATGTTGCTAGATAATGATATTTTAATAATTCCACGTGTCACTCAAACTAAATATAAAAATACGAGCACCAGCTTTTACGAATGATCTTAACAAATATTCCATTGAATTTTGCCGCAGTGAATTTTGACCAGGATTGTATAGTGAATATACTTCTACATTTATAGTTGTTTCACAAAACTGTTTGTCCTTTACACTCACCTACCTCTGGGTACTATAACTTCAAATACTTACATACTAATTCTTATAAGGATGAAGCCATTCTACTTTCTAACTTCGTCTGTTGATCATTAATTAATTTTCTACTTGTTAGATATATTGTTGGATTCAAAAGTAAAACCAAGTTAGATGAAATTACTTTTTTTGAGAAGTTAAGACTTTCAAAAAAATTGTTTAGTATAGTTTTTTAGAATAACTCGTGACATGACTTAAATATATTTCAATGAAATCTTATGTAGGTAGAGGAATTTTTGAGGTAGCCGAAGGGGAATACTTCTTAGGTTACTGAGAATATGTAAGACCGCCGTCTTTCTGCCATATTTTTTATTGGTACTGATTTTTCATCTACTGTAAAAAAGGTATACTCAGGTATACTAAATTGCATTGTTCTAGGGAAACATGGATTTCAATATTCTACACTGCCGTTTTCATACTGTCATTGAGTCTTTAGGGCATTCTAATATAATAAAAC